TCTCTCTCTCTCTCTCTCTCTCTCTCTCTCTCTCTCTCTCTCTCTCTCTCTCTCTCTCTCTCTCTCTCTCTGTGTGTGTGTGTGTGTGTGTGTGTTTGCGTATGAATAGGCACATAGATTTAGGAGCGCATCCCGTTGTAGGATCGCTCCTACTCTAGCAGCGATCACGTCTGACAGAAGAGAACGGGCCCATAAGAACAAACAGCAGGCCAAGCCGTCGACAGTCTGCAGAATCCCCTCCTCATGCTATAACTTGTGATGTCTCCGCTCCTTTTTGTCACGCACTTCCTACCCAGTCCTCGTTCACCCACAAGGTCTCTTTCTTCTGCCTTGTCTCCATATCTGTGCCCTTGATTGCGATTCTGCCTTGTCTCCATAGCTGTGCCCTCAGATGCTAAATGCTATTAGACCGACCGTACTGCAGAAACACCTTAACCTTATCCGCCAGTTCGGTGTTCTCTTTTATTTGCGTTTCTGTCAACTGAAATGAGAAGAGTCGCACTAAAAAAAGAAACAAAAAAAAAAACAAAGAGTTGCACCGACTGCCCTAGCCCAGTCGGTACACCTCCTCTGAACGGTGCATCAACTGAAATACACAGACCTGAGTCCGAAGTCGAGCCGAAGCGGAAGCGGATCAGTACAAAAACTACAGTAATTCTGGATTACCTTCTTACCCCCAATACAACAGACGGTCATTATAGCTGTACATGGGGCATTTTTCAGTCTAAATACAGCTAGAATGACCGGACGTTGTATTCGGGGGAAGAACGTAGTTTAGGCCGCCGGTCAGTTCGATGATGATATCTCAAGGCCGTCGCGTTTTCAAAAAGGGGAGGGGGGGGGAGGGAGGGAAGAAAAAGAGAATCAGATTTTACGTTTACTAAAAAAGAAAAAGGGGGAAATTGGTGAAATACCCCTAAAAGTTGGGGTATTTCGTCAGATACCCCTATACCACCGGGGTACGCCGAAATAATGCCCCAAACTTCTGCATTTGCCCCTGTCCCGGTCATCACAAATTTCAGCATATGCCCTCGCCCTAAGACTGCAGGGGCCGGCGCATTTCTTTCGCCAACTGAAGGGTCCAACGTCCCGTATACACAACTTGCACAGGGCCTGGTAGGGATATATATGCAAAACATGACAGGGCCGATCTGCGAGTGGGGTATTTTGCAAAGTTTCAGACCTGTCATAGGGCATATCGCCATACCCTTGCCTTTTAGGGGTAGCTAACGAAATACCCCAACTTTCAGGGGCATTTCAGCAATTTCCCCAAACACAAGAAGACAAAAGAAGATTGTTTGTCCTGTCGTGTTGCCAGGATCGAGCCAAATTCCCCAACTTTCAGGGGCATTTCAGCAATTTTCCTAAGCACAAGAATACAAAAGAAGATTGTTTGTCCTGTACCCCAACTTTCAGGGGCATTTCAGCAATTTCCCAGCACAAGAAGACAAAAGAAGATTGTTTGTCCTGCTGTTGCCATCTCCATCGAGCCCCGAGGGTCGCATGAGTACGAGGAGATGAAAATGAAGCCTTGAACGAGATCGTCGACTTGCACTTGGGATGAATGAAGGACCCTTGACAATCCTTCCGGGAAGAAGAAGGAGTCCGCCATCGCCATCGCCATCGCCACCACCTTCATCACCACCATCGCCAACTCACCATCATCGCCAACTCACCATCATCGCCATCGCCATCGTCATCGCCAACTCATCATCATCGCCAAATCATCATCATCGCCATCGCCCAACTCACCATCATCACCATTCCACCGACATCGAAGGATCAAATAGCAATGTCGCTATGAACGCCTGGCTGCCACTACCGGTTGCCAGTTATCGCCATAGCCATCACCACCACCGTCGCCATCACCGAGGTGATGGCTATGGCTATGGCTATGGCGATGGCGATGGCGATGGCGATGGCGACGGTGGTCGTAACTTTTCTGACACCTCCAACTTCGGCACGATCATCGTCATCGCCATAGCCATCACCACCACCGTCGCCATCACCATCGCCATAGCCATAGCCATCACCTGAAACGCTAAAGAGGATAGATAGGCCATGCACTCACAGTTTGTATTCGTACTAGAAATCATGATTGCATCCCATCATCATCCCCATCGGCATGATCATCGTCATCGCCATAGCCATCACCACCACCGTCGTCATCACCATCGCCATTGTTGTCATCATCTCTCTCGTCGTAACCATCCCCATCACGATCGCCATCATCGTCATCGTCACAGTCAGCAGCTCTACTCTCTCTCTCTCTCTCTCTCTCTTTCTCTCTCTCTCTCTCTCTCTCTCTCTCTCTCTCTCTCTCTCTCTCTCTCTCTCTCTCTCTCTCTCTC